CTCAATGTGTCGCATACATGCATTGAAAAAAAATTAAAAACCCTTGGTTATGTCAAGAAACTTGATTTATGGATCCCTCACCAGTTAAAGGAAATTCATTTGACGCAACGGATCACAGTAGCATCTGTGATTCGCCGCTACTGAAACGCAATGAGAATGATCCATTTCTGAAGAACCTAGTTACTGGCGACGAAAAGTGGATAGTTTATAACAATGTCGTTACTCGCAAGAGATCATGGGTGAAACAAGATCAACCAGCCCAAACAGTATCAAAAGCAGAGATTCATCAAAAAAGATTAAGCTGTCAGTCTGGTGGGATCACAAAGGAATTTTTTATTTTGAACTCATGCCGCAGAACCAAACGATAAATTCAAATGTGTATGTTGAAGAACTCGAAAAAGTGAAGGATGCAATTGAAGATAAGCCCCCGGCATTATCAAATCGGCGGAAGGGTGTTGTTTTCCACACATCTTTGATACTAACATGAGTAGCCACCAAGTAACAATTTCTCTAAAAAATGGCCTTAGGTACTAATATTGTGTTCATCTTTGTATCATTTCAGTCGCCAGCCGATGGACATTGTGGGTCCAAGCTTCCAAACTCTAGTTGTACCTGAACAAACCCAATCATCACCACATGAAACTTTAAGACTGGAATGGCCCTTAACAACCCTCCGTCAATTTGCATTTAACGGTTGCTTATTCAAAATGGAGACTGGTCGTAGAGCACCACATGGTGAAGGTCATTATCTCTTCCGAATCCCCGATATTGCCGAATTTCGACAAAATCTTGAGGTAGAATTGTTTTTATCTATCCCTACTTAAAATAAATTCAGTAGGTCTATTAACTTGTCATGGATATTTGTTTAAAGACACATATTGATCATTTGAAGCGATCAAGAAGGATGAAGACGCGATCGGCGGTTTGTTATCGACCTTTGCCTCCATCTATACCTCCACCACCACCTCCTCTATCAAGTGTGTCAAAACCCTATGTGAACATTCCCACAATTCTACCAACACCCACCCTTAATAGATCTTGGACAAATTTACTTCAACCAACAGGAGAAATGGATAAAGGCTTAAATGATCTTGAAAATGACGACAATGACTGGTTGGTCGAGTTGGCTACACCGCCACCACCACCACCAATCTCTGCACCTTTGCTGACGCAAGATACTCTACCTATAAGAGATGAGCAATCCAAGATGGTAAAGTCGTTATTTAGCGTAAATTGAGATCCACTTTTGATTCCTATTCAATTTGTATTATAATGTTGTTCAGCATCGTGTCGGAACGTATGAAAACGTGAGAAGCGTGTTAAGAAGTAATGAGAAGTGTCCAAATTATCAACAATCACCAATAGTTGTATCAAGTTCAAGTAAACCTGAACGATCTCCAAAAGCTGATTCCACAATAAACTATGCAATGTTGGATTTTCAGGAGCCAAAAGTACACCGCGGAAATTCTAGAACGCAATCAATAGGATCTCCGCAGAGACGTTCTTATAAACGTCCGGTGCTCCCTCCAGCCAAATCATGTAGCAGTGAACGTCCAACAAGGTCATCGGTTTCGCAGACAATTAGGCGCTTGGCTAGATCTGTTGAAGCTCGACTTAATATGACTGAAGTGGAAAATAGAGTCCAACAATCGACTCAAACTGGCAGTTCTAATGGAGGAAATTATGTGGACATTTGTCCTCTTCAAACTCTTGCAATTAATGAACTACTTAGAAGTACTTTGTAAATCTCTGCATAATATGAAAGTAAAATTGACTTAATCAGCATTTTAAAGGGCTATTAAGATTCTAAATAATTTCAATTGATTTTTAATTTTGCTATAATAATAGCATGCAAATTAAAAATAATGATAATTACTGCTCAGACGAAACGTAGCGTAATACTTTACAATTTTATATTTTCTGATTTCAAACTAATTTAGTCTTACGTTAAAACACAATACATACTTATGGCTGTTTTGTGTGAAAATGGAATATAACTGCATTAATTGATAGATTGGCAATGTTAGACTAAAACTATTAATTTATTACTTTTTTTTAAATTAGTAACGTGCAATTCCTATCTGTGAGGAGCGCATCAATAGCATAGATAAAAACCAAAGAATTTTATTCGCTCTGGAACGTTCTGGAAAGAGTACGTGCGATCGTGATGTTAATCGCCCCCAGGGAGTAAATGACGTCACGAGTGCAGAGATCTGTCAGTCAAACAAAAGTCACGACATGGTCAAAGCAGCCGAACGAGTAATTGATAACTAAGCTCCGCGTCAATGATAAAGCCCAAACAAACCTGCTCCATACCATACGTCTACTTCCCCCATAGCGCTGAGGTAATTTACCTAAATTCGGAAGCCTTTCCCCACTGGGGAATATGCCGTCGAGATTACTGAGGACGAGTCAAGACTTACTAGTGTAGTAATCCGCTGCCTGTCCCTAGGTGTCCAAACAATTAGTTTTAATTCTCAATAATTTTGAGTTCCCCCTGGCTAAGTACCCCGCATAACTAATCAAAGAATAGGAATTCAGTGATGTCTTTTTGTTCCATGGATTTGTACATTTGTTCACCAAGTTATTGTAAAAGTCCCCCCTCCTCCCACAACCTTTTTGTAAAGTCACCGCAACCAGCTTGATACTCCGATTAACTTGAATTGCCCTCAAGTACCCAAATTGTTATTAAAGCAAACGTATAGTATACAAGTCCCATTAAATTGAGCATAAATTAGAAATCGCGCATATTAAAAAGTAAACTACATGATGTGGTAGAAACATCAAATTGAATCCCTACATTTTGGGAGGACATTCTTGCTTTAAAGGACAATGGCCATGCGGCCATTGTCATTCTGAACCATTAACTCTTTTCCGTTTAATTCACTTGGCCATTTGCCTTATAATTTCTGGTTTAGACCTCCCACCTGTTGGCAACAATAAGCATGGCGTATAAGTTTTCGTCCGGTTTTAGCTTTTCGCAATGGACTGTTCTCCGGTTGTCGATTACTTTCTTAATGGAAGCATAAGAAGGACCAGTCTGGTGGAGTGGGTGCTTAATTTGGAGGACACCATTATTGTCAAACGATCCGCTTCTCGTTCATAAAGGCCGAATTCACTGTTTTCTTCACTATAACGAATATATTATGCGGAGGAAATTCTCCGTCAATTTTGAGATCGTCTTTTAAATGTAGTTCAGAGTGAACGTTCCCTCACAAACGACGAAGTGGAGAAGACTCTTTCACTCATCTGCTATTATCATTTCTTGCTGAATTACCTCCCTGAATAGTTACTTCTTCTCGTCTTGAAATAATTGATTTACTAATTGTCACATATAGTTAAAATTTCATTTTTTTTGATAAATTATGTATATGAATCTTTTTTACTCTAATTTCCGCCATTATATAAGCTCTCTTATTGTAATTGTAGTTCTTTGACCACTCATTTTCTTATTAAAAAAATACGGTTTTGAATAAAATACTCTTAGTTATCAAGAACCATTTGCACTAAATTATTAGTTTGAACATATAATCTTGCCTCCATTAATATACTTCTAAATATAGGAGGTGGAAGTTTTCAGGGTGTTATTGAAGTGAATTATCGCTTCAATCAAGCAAATAACTGAAGATGATTAATGCCAAACGTTCAAGCAACCATACATCTTTGAGGGAAAATACAAAATTTTATCCAGATACCCGGCATCGCCGTCTCTTCACCAAATTTTTTGAAATGCGTGCACTGTGTAAAAAGAGGGGTGCGCGATAGACCTACCTCCACGTGGTGCAACCTGGACAATGTATACTCAAACGACAAAAAAGTCTATTAACTGGCAGTTGACTTCGGACTTCAAACTACCACCACCCTACTGTATGTCATATTCGACACCCCGCAACCTCACTGATAGTGCGGAAACAGCCGCATAGCGAGTATTGCGTTCATTGGAATTGTGCTCAGAGCAAACGTGATCAGTAATTGAGTTAACACTGATAGCTGATTAGCTGAGAAGTCCCTTGCACTCTCACGCCAGCACCCTCCCGAATGTTTGGGGATGCGCAGTTTATTCACACTACGCCTCTTCCACTTTTATTCTTGTTTTATTCTTCGAGTACACGGATTGAGAAACAATAAACACCAATATTTGAGACGACGGGGTGTGCGATAGACTTACCTCCACGTGGAGCACCCTGGGCAACCCATATTCATACGACAACAAAGTCTATTAACTGGCAGTTGACTTCTCACTTCAAACTACCATCACCTCACTCTATGCCATATTCGACTATTTTCACAGTACTCGTCTCACCTTTGTTCTACCTTTGTGTTTGCCTCTTACATCTTTGGAACACTCTTCTGTTCCCCCATCTCGGCTTTTTTCAATTTAATGTTCTTTCCCCTCTGTGAAGCCTGAAGTCAACTAAAGGGCTAATGGTAACCATCAAGACGCCTGCCATTTGATATAAATAAATTAATACTTGAGACCGCTTAAATTAAATCTTGTGGGACACGTTACCACTTTGTGCGTCATCGTATGCCTGCATGACAGGATTGAGATGTGCGGCCGTACAACTCTGTGTACAGCAATAGTACAAATAGTGGCCAATCAGTAGCCTCCGTTTGTTTAACCTTATCCCCCATCCTGATCATGAGTTGCTCCCTGCGTGTACACTTTACCTCCAATATGCGACTGAATAAACGTGCTGCGTGTTACACGTCTGTTTCCTTTTTAGCTGAGCTATAGCTTAGCTGGTTCTGGGAGTCTAGCTAGATGTAGGAGAATCTGCCACAGAGATTTCTGAATCGGTCAGGCTTTAATAAGGTAGCAATCCGCTACAATCTAATCGATATTTGCAATTATAATTTACTTTGGAATACTTTTTTTAAAAACCTCCAAAAATGGTGAGCTAATTTTTCAACAACTTTGATACCTATTCGAATGATATTTTTAAATTATTTAAATTAACATGTGAATACATTTAGTAGGAATAAAAGTTAGCTATTCGTATAAACTCAAACATCGGCACATAAATCTGCCTATTTGATAAAAAAGTTAAATAGAAATTGATAATGTATTTTCTGGAAGACCTTGATCGTATATCGATGTTCCTAATCCACTCAGCGGATCAAGAAATAATAGCAAAGCGTCAGATGTCTCCGTCCTTTCTACTGTTTCAAATTCTGCCCTACCCTGGTGGATATTGGAGGCTCTATAAACCCGTAGGTCATTTTAACTCCTAATTCTCACAAATGATTATTATCAACACCCTTGTTTATTTATTCATAATAGCTTAAATATCCCCAAAAAAGACTTATCTGGAAAGTGCAAATTGGATGCAAACAGGTGGTCAATGCGTTTTTTCCAATAGAAGCCCCATCGCTGTTGCAAGCCTTTATAATATTCATCTTTTTGACTTATAAATACTTCGATTTAGAAATACCCCCTTGTTTAATCCAATTAGATCGCTTATTCTACCATCTACTTGAAACTAGGTTTCCGGGTGATTCCGTAATTTCAGAATTCAGTTAGCTCTGACCCCCCTCCCCCCCCCCCCCCCCCCCACTCACGAAGTTGATAATTGTAATAAACTTATTTCCACAAAAAATTGATTTCTTTATTAGTTTACCCTACCAAAAATTTTATTAAACTACTAAAAAAACAAGCAAAGGTAGATTAACATTTCAGCAAATGTTCTAATGGCATTTCCTGACCAAGTTTTACTAAAATATAACTCTGTTGAATGCCACTCTAGGCCACTTAACTAGAAAAGACAGTTATTATTTAGTGAGGAGAAATAGGAACAAGAACTTCAGAAAGTCCAATTGTCAGCTGAGGCCAACTAATTGCGGAAGTCAGTTATACGATTAAAATAGGTAAAATGTTTGTCACTGTCGACTAGCGTATCTGTGGTTGTCTTCCAGGTTTCAGATAGTTGAGGCAGCAAATTCCTTGCTACATCTATTTTTGGCTAAACTTACTTCGACCAAACTCTTTTAGATTATGTTCGATCTTTTAATTTGAGAAAATCTAACAATAAGTGCGTTCGTATCACCAACCACGCACATTAAGCAAGTCTTTAATGTCGAAGGTTTTACAAACCTTGCTGATGTCCGACTCTTGGAGGGACATTTAGTCTAATGAATTTGCTTATGCGCCAGTGGGACGATGGCTATCGTTCACACCAGACAACCTTTAAGTCACTAGATCAACACTCATTGGTCCACAACGCTTACTTCGGATCAGAAAGAGATCTGAAGAGATCGCGAGTTTCTCAAGGATACTTCTTTGCGCCTTTTGAAAGCATTTACAGAATTGGTGCGAAAGTTACCGATTTAATTATTCTAATTACAAACAATGCATTAAATATTTGATTTCCAGAAATAATCATTTAGGAAAAAAATTATGGCATAAATAATTGGCGTAATATTTCTTTGAACATAGGAGCTATTTCTTACAATTTTACTGTTTTAATGTATGGCCCTTTCATCCGAATTTTTATCTTTATATATTAATATTTTATCGATGGATTTTATATTATTAAGGCCCATCCGTGTAGGGTTGAAATTTGAGGGGAGAGCCAAGTGGGTGTGCGATAGACTTACCTCCACGTGGTGCACCCTGGAAATATGCCTTCACTATCAACATCTTATTTGGAAGCGGAGGGGTGTGTGCGATAGACTTACCTCCACGTGGTGCACCCTGGACAGCGTGCGATAGACTTACCTCCACGTGGTGCACCCTGGGCAACTT